CATGAACATCGCCCAAGACATGTTGAACGACGTCAATGATGATCCTGATCTGCTCAAAAGGGTTATAACTGGTGACGAAACATGGAAAATTGAAAAGACCCATGAAAGGACGAAGATTTGCGACGATTGAGGAGATTAAGGCTGCATCGCTGGAGGAGCTCAAGGCAATACCCAAAAGTGCATTTCAGAAGTGTTTTGACAACTAGAAAAAGCGCTGGCACAAGTGCATTGTATCAGAGAGGGATTATTTTGAAGGGGATAACATAATTTTGGATGAATAAATGAATATTTTTTTATAAAAATGAAAAGTCACCTTACTTTTTGATCACACCTCGTATATGGACATACATGAACATATTTCATATACCTATAAAGTCCTATAATTTTATATGTTTATGAATATATTTATATAGCCATATATGTATGTTTATACATATTTATATACATTCATGCATAAAAAATTTTTTACCGAGATGTGTTGAGGATTTCATCCAATTTGAAGTTTAATCCATTTTTATATTTATATTAAATATTTTATGTCAATTTATGTACAACAGGTTTAATATGCACCAGTGCGCATTGAGTGCATCCAATCGAATTCCCCCTAAATGTCATCATAGAAATAAAAAGCATGCAGAAGTATTATTTTATCCTTGTTGTTCACCGAGTGTTGAAGAAAGATTAAATGATACTTACTGCGCTAACCGCTGCATAAACGAATGCACGCAAAATGTCAGTATTATTTAAAAATAATTATCCGTCTGTGTGTAAAATGGCAAAAATAAACTTGCTGTAAAATGGTAAAAATAAAAATTTATCAATAATGATGACATAAAAAAGTATTAATTTTTTCATTAAAAAATTATATTTTATAGCTTCTGGGTATCAATCATGAAACTTTATCCTTAGGATGGAAAATGAAAAGTGAAAATTTTAATCATTGAAGTTAATGGAGAAATTTGTCACTTTTCACTTTTCATCCTAGGAAAAAAGTTTCATGATCGATACCCTGTTGTAAAATACTTTTCAAATTACTAGGAATATTTCATCATGTCTCAATGTTTTATTTTCTTGATATTTACAGCACTGATATGATTCGACGCGCGCTTCCGTTCGACCGGCAAGGCGCTGAAGTTACTACGGAATCGATAAAGAGTTCAGAATGGAAGCCAGTCATAAACAGCTTATTTATCTTCGCAATAATCGGCCGCCGCGAGCGCTTGCGACGTGCGACAAATCGTTCTGGGGTTTCAAGTGAGTGCAAAAGAAAATCGGCTGTTAATATTACGGCTCATTACAGCTCAACATTCGTTTCCTTGCACAATTTAACGACTGACGCATAAGTTAACGAGTTTCTTGCGCGACGTAACCTCCCAGAACGAAACCAAAGTGCGTCTCTGAGAACTCTTTGTTCATTTTATATCCTAATTTTGTATTGATTGCCTATTCATTTATTTCTTTTTGATAAGAAAAAATATGTGTCTAAATAAATTTCTTTTTTGTTCAAATTTATTAATAATTTATTACACATAGTTTTTGTGTATTGTAATGTGAAATTTAATAAACAAGTTTTATTCGAAGAAGTGTTTCTATGAGTGTTGACAGTTTAAAAAAGCAATTTTTTTTTTATAGTTGCAGATGATCAATGTTGGAAGGATGGTATTGCAGATCCATTGCCAACAACAATGCAGAAGAAGAAGACGATGAAGAGAGTCCCGAAGAAGAAGTGCCTAATTATAAGGACCAGTATCGCAATCTCAAAAGAAAGCTGAAATTTTTGATTTATGTATGCAAAAAACATTTCAACACTTAATATTTGTCTATATTATTTATTTCATAATAAAATATGTGTTATGTTGTAGGAGAATGAACGTTTCCAAGAAGCTTTGCGTTCTACACAAAGGAAACTGCTCAAGGTGAATAGAGATAAAAGTTTCCTATTAGATCGTCTGCTGCAATATGAAAAAGTAGATGCGTCGTTTAGTGAAAGCGATGAAACTGATTCATCAGATGAGGAAGTTGTTCGTCTTGACAATTCCAAGAGGTAAGAAAATTATATAATAATCAGGTTATGAAATAAAGAAAACTTTATCATAAACCAATCAGAAGCTGTGTTGAAATGTTTATTTATTATCATATAGAATGTCTCCAAATTACTGGATGTTCTTTCATCGGCAGATTTTGTGGAATATTCTAGAAAAAAAATTCGTATACAAGATTCTTATAAATGTCAAGATTATAATACTTTCTTAATTAGTTAATTTTTTAAATAAGTTAATATCTTGTGAAACCATTAACACTTTAAAATAGGAAACTAAATTTATGCTAATTTTATTGTAAACACCTTAATTATATCAATATTTGATAATTGAATCCTTGCATAAGGACATTATTATGAAATATATGATGCTTGAGCGCATTAATTGTAGCTGTTAAAATAATCAACTTTAATTATTTATAATTTGAAAAATATAATGTTATTATTTTTATATAGGATTTTTATTTTAAAATATTCCGCAGACTATATACTAGTAAAAAGACATCTGGTAATTTTGGGTTTGTGTATTAACAATATGCTATATGATATAAAAAGAAAGCATTATCTATAAAGCATAAGTTTTATTCATTGTTTATTATATGAATTTACGTAATTTTTAGGAAAAAAGTTGAGATGAATATCAATAATCATACTTCTCATCATTCGTCTATGGTCACAAAACCACTCAGCACTAGTAAGAAGAAAAGGAATGCCCCAAAAGTTGCTAAAACGAACAACACACCTATAGTAAATACATTTATATATTTCATGTAATATGTTTATAAATTACATTTTATTACAAAATTACCATAATAAGGATTTTTTTATTTCAGGTACAATCCACGAATAATTTGGTTCCAATGTCCTTGATGTCTGACGGACATATGACACCTGAGGAAGTAGAAAGACATTTGGAATCTCGCCAGACATATCTGGAACTTGTGCCAGAGAAAGCACCACCTACAGTTCCAACAGAAATGTTTAGTAATGATCCTTCTTTGGACAGGTAAGTTTATTTGTTACTAATAAATATTTTGTATCCCTTTTTGGATATTTATAATAAAAATGAAATTATTAAAATATCCAATTTTTAGTGAATCGAATGAAATTGGAGAACTTGAGACGTCGCCTAGTAATATGGGTGAAGATTGTCTCAGTGTAGACATGATGGCGGAGTGACAAACATTCGTTTATAGTTTACTCATTAATTATAAAGTGCACATATAGTTACATGGCTCTTTAAGATTATTTCACGCGACTAACTCAACTGTATCCACTATAATATAATACAAATTTTTATACACACAATAATAAAGAATTATTATTGTGCCTTCCAACAAGCGACACAAATAACACGATATGACACAATGGAACATTACATCCTTGTTGTTTGCCAATGTTAAACAAAGAGGATATGATCACTGTGTCGCACTGTGTCGCTTGTTGGAAAGCACACTTAATTTCCTTTTCCAACACATCTATGAATTATACGACACATTCGTCTTATGTTTCGTGCAGTTTGTTTGTTTATAAAGATATTCATGCAGAAATTTCATTCGTTATGATTGAGAAAAGCAATTCGATAACTGACATTTTGGATAGTATAATTTCAAAGATAGAAACAGAATTGGAGCAGAAATCGTTACACATACACCAATCGAAATTCGAAGATGTTACAACATCAGAAAAAAGAAATCGATTATCGTGCGATTCGGTGGAAGACGTAAACTGTCGTATTTGTTATGATCCTAATCAAGAACTATCTATTATGTATCCGTGCAAGTGTAAGGTTCGGAAGGATAGAGTGTAAAAATTTGATTATACACAATAATTAGAAAAACTAAAAGTTGAAAATTTCTGAAGATCCAGGATATTGAAAATTCAAATAGCTCTATATATTTCTTTCTTTTATTTTAATTTTTTTATTTTAATAAATTATAAATATTTTAATTTAAAGTGACTTAACTTTTTCAATCAAAATACATTTGAAAAATATGTCCGTGTCTCACAATAACTATATAATTATAATAATGACATTGGGATTAGGGAACAATGGGCGCGATCCATCTAAAATGTTTGGAACGGTGGTTAGAAGAAAGCAATAGGAATAATTGCGAATTGTGCGGTCACGAGTTCCGCATGGAACGCACGCCTCGATATAAGGTTCTTCGGTCTGTTATAATCTGGTTATGCCTGAATCACAGCGATCAGATGTACGTTCGCAATGTGAAGGCCGATCTACTAAGATGTTTTATAGTGACCCCAGTGACCATCGCATGTTCTTACATCTGTGTAGTGGCTGCCGATTTTTACGCTATAAATAATTACGACAATTTCCCACCCGCGCGATGGACTACCTATTCCTTACTATCAATGATGGCGTTACTAATCCTGTCTTTCTTCGTTTGGATCTACACGATAGTACGATATCATCAAAAATCATGGTTTTACTGGTGGCAGAAAACCAGTAGCGTAAAAATTGTTGATTTAATGCCGGAAAATATTGCTTTAAGTAGAAACAATAAGTGTGATGTGTCGCAAGTTTAACAATAGATATCGAGAATAATAAAGAAGTTGATTAGGAAGCTCGTCGTTTGATGGAGATCTTTCCACGACTCAACTGCGATATGTAAATGCGTACTTTGCTGCTGTCTGTTACTTTCTTCACCCAAATCTGAAAAAATAAATATCTTGCGATGATGCGCAATTTATTTAATGCTTTGAACACTTACCGCTTCGGTGCCAATTGCAGAAATGTTAGCTGCGAATCTATTAAGATCCTTGCCTTCAACATAGACAGGTTGACCACGATGAAACCTTTAATGAAATTCGACGAAAGGATTCCTTTATATTTAAGAAGAATTCAAATTGAATATAAAGTAATACAGAAATAAATCAAAGGTACCATCTTCGCTCATATAATAATTTCCCGTCTTCTATCCGAGTTTCCACCAATGGGGTTTCAGGCGGCTGTGATATATGTTGCGATGGAATATTTACCGCATTGTAATGTGGCAAAACTACTGTAAATACAGTTGTATTAACTAAAAAATGTGTATTAACTAAAAAATTTATTTCTTATTCTTAGTTTTTTACATTGATTATGTTCGCTCCTTTACATCTATGTACAAAGTATCATAAAATTCGCAAGAATCAAATACTATAGGATATCTGGAAAAACTAAATACTAAAAATCGTAATCACAACATAAAAGTTGTAATTCACAACTATTCAATATTTTGTAAATTTTTTTACAAATTATAATAAGAAATAAAGGGCCAAAGGGGTCATAGATTGTCATTACTTAAATTTTTCCAAGATATTCTGCTATAGTATTTTGAATTGTGAATTTTAAGATATCAAGTACTGAGCACCTGGTTTGCGAATAGTGGTCGGCGCTTTCGCACGATTGATTGCTTTTAAGTCAAATTCGATATCTTTATCGTCCAATACGTAATTTAATTGCGCAGGAGGTGGTTTCCGCCGTTTCTCTACTTTTTCAGGTACTGGATCGTTGGGACGTCTGCGTAATTTTCTCGTCATTACAGGCTTTACCTAATTACAAAAAAGAATGATGTTAGTAAGAAATATATATACAGAGTGTTTCTAAATAAATGCGAACAATTTTGAGGGATGATCTTTTTATCAAAAATTAAGGAAAATTTTTCATATAAATTTTCATATACCTACAGCCCTCTTTGAGTTCTTTAAAAAGAGGGGTAAAAATTAAGATTTTATTTTTTTATAGTATTAATAAGTATCTCCTTATTTTCAAATTAATATTTTTATTGATGGAAAATATCCACTAAATTTTATTTGTTGAAACAACAATAATAAAATGTAGATAAAAGATGCTGTAAACCATGCTGATATTTCAAAAAGAGATCTTTATTTTAGATCATTAAAAATTTATTAATTTATTAAACTAAATATATATATATATAATTTGGATCATTGTTACTAATCTTCATTTGTATACCTTATCCAAAATTTGAAAAAAAATAACTTCTTATCTTTTTAAGGAATGTAACTTCTCAGAAAGGGATATAGGAGTACATATACATATGTTTATACAAAAAACTCTTTAATTTTTGACAAAGGCTGATATAAAATTTTTCGCATTTATTGAAAAACACTATGTATATTGTATGCATGTGTGTGTGTGTGCACAAGCGCGCGAGTGTGTATGTGTGTGTGTAGTGAGTGTGTGTATTATTTAAGTTAATTTAAAAATAAATTCAAATACCTCCATCGAATCACCAGTGAGTTCCATTGTGTGACGATCTGACTCAATCATTTTTCGTTTTTCCTCCATATCAGTAAGTAGATTTTCCTTAAGATCGATTTTTTTTTCTTCAAATTCTTTTGCTGCTGCTTTCTTCTCAGATATATAATCGCGCTCAACCCATTCCGTCAAGTAATCCCGATAAACTATATTCAATCTCAGTCTGGCAAAGATAACATCTCAATTAGAAAAACTTTCATGTAAATGATCACGTTAATAAAAAAAAATTATAGATAATACCGTTCCTTATATTGTGCTTCTAGTCGTTTTAGTTTACGATTGTATTCAGGATGCGTGCCTTCCTTCAATTGCTGCAGCTGCTTTTTCAAACTAGCTAATTTATCTTGGTACATCCTGAAAGATTGCATATGAAATATAATTTTCAGTGTCATATAAATAAATAAATAAATACATAAATAAATAAATAAAAAATAAATTCATGTATAGTAACTTTGCAGACTTACTGTTCCTTGATTTCTGTATATTCTTCAGATTTTCCCATATCAGTTTCGCTCGCCTCTTCGGTATCTAAAAAAATTTATTAATTTTTACAAATATTCTTCAACATATTATATTCATTTATATTACATGTTACTTAATATATATTATAGGGAAGGTATAACTCCAAAAATTAAGAACATGAAATCATGCAGGAAAAATACTCCTCATGCAGATGTATATAATTTCTTTTTATTATTACCCTCGTCGCTTTCATCTTGCTCCTCGGCATCCCTATCCTCCTCCAAATACTCTTCATTGTCTTCATCGAGATCATAGTCGTCCTGACGATCGTACATCGTAGAAAAACCGGAATCTTGATACGACATTGTCACACATATCTGTGCGATACATACTTCAATAGCGACACACAACAAACCTGCTCCTGGTTAAGTTAGGTTAGTTAGGTTAGAAATAAACTTGAGCCTCATGTTGGATTCACACTGCATCCGATTTTCATCGTACGACGCTTCAATCAGCTCTGTAACCAATCAGAAAACAGGATACAATGTGAATCCAGCATCAGGGTGCCGTGAGGGTGATGTCCCACGCAGCGGATCGTGCGTAAGCGGATTCGCGTATCGCCAATCACAGAATTATTCTCTTAGATATGCTTGCGAAATTTGCAAACAGATCTAAGAGAATGATTCTGTGATTGGCGATACGCGAATCCGGTTACGCACGATACGCTGCATGGGACATCAGCCTCACATGCGGCGTAACCTGCATAAGCGTAACCTGCGTATTCTAGTAATTTACTAGAATACGTTATTTTTTATTTACTAGAATACGCCATTCTGAAAGCCCAAATTCACATTGAGCGTATTTCGCGGAAGATTAGAGAAATGCGGAACTAATGCAACCAATTGCTGATTAGAATTTCTGTACACGCCAGCAGAAATGCTAAATGAGTTTACGATTGGTTTTCGTAACATACGCATCTCGAAAAGTACGCCTCATGGGGAACCGGTACCTTTCCATCACGTATATATGAGCGGATGATTGAATAAATTATTAAAATCGGAACATTTTATGAAACCACTCTTATAGCGTTTTCGGCCCGGCCAGGTTTGCACCAACTTGGGTTGGATTAATGGCGTTTTGTGCTCTCCTATTGGTAGAGCGGGTGAAATCAACCAATAGGAAAGATTAATCCAACCCAGGTTGGTGCAAACCCGATCGGGCCGAAAACGCTATTAGACTTATTCGAAGCGTTTTTGCATGAAACAAAAGAATCTGGCAAAAAAAACGTCGTTCTGCCTTGTGATCTGAGATATTAAGCGTTAAAGTTGATGACTATTGAGGTTAGGCAATCTGTCACAGAGGCAAAATGAGGTCTATAATTGTACTGTTCCACATGGGTTTCGACTTTTCACGTGATGCAAAGGGGCGCACGACTTTTATAATTGTACTGTTGCAAAATCGAAACCCTTGTGCATTTTTTCAGATAGAATAAGCTAAAATGAACCAGAAATTAAATTCGACTCATGATAAAAAGACAAGGGTATGCTCATGCGCATGACCAATCAGATTTTTGTCCTTGCTTACGTCACAACGAGTGGCTTACGCCACTGTTCAGCAATTTCAGATTGTTTTGGAAAGGTAAAATATTTAATTTTACTTCCCTCAGTTTTTTTTGTTTTTTTCATATAATTGCCGCATCCTTTCACTATGCAGGTCATCGTGAAAATATTTTTAACATTAACTTCTACCGATGACAACGTGCACTACGCCATGGACGCCATGATAAATTACGACCGATAACCACCGATTGCACCCGAATCAGAACCGACCAATCAACGCGTACCCGAATATGACGTAGGCAAGGACATGCGCAAGCTGAACGAGTTTTAGACAATTGATGAGCATACCCTTGTATTTTTATCATGATTCGACTCATAGTGGTTCTATCATGTTTCGGCGTAACAACTAACAACAAAATAGCGTAAAAAGCATAAAGTGACTAGACAGAAACTGATGTTCAAGTGAAATGATATGATTGGTCGGCGCAAGTTACTCTTAAGCTGGATTTTCATCTGACGCTAGACGCTCATTTTCAGCGTCAAAACAGGTCACGTGATCAAAATTGACGCTTGGTATTTGTCAATTTTGATCACATGACCCGTTTTGACGCTGAAAGTGAGCGTCTAGCGTCAAATGAAAATTCAGCCTTACGTAAGTTACGCCGCATGTGACGGCACCCTGAAGGTGCCTTTTCATTCTGACTCTCAACGCTCATTTTCAGCGTCAAAATAGACCGCGTGAACAAAACTTGTGACACTTGATATTTGTCACCGACGAGATACTGGGTGCTTTCCATTTGATGACACAAGTCGACACAAGCGTCATTCTATCCTTGTTGACATTCAGAGAGTGACAAAGATAGAACGACACTTGTGTCGACTTGTGTCATCAATTTCAATTTCTTATGCCTCATGTGTTATGCGTTATGCAAGAGTCTGTGCTCCCCGCTTTAAGCGGGAAGCACAGACTCTTGCATAACGTATAAAACATAAGGCATAAGAAAATCAACCAATCAGAGTCCTTTATTTCGTAGAAAGTGTTACGTCCGCGGTACATATAAAACTTGTCCAGGAATATCCCTTGGCAAATCACACATTTTCTTTACCTCAATAGACCGGCAGGGCACGAAAACCACCGAGACCGCTCCTGACGCCTTCTCCACCACATGCGCCCTACCAGCGTGCAAGGGGATCTTTCGAAAACGCCCTCGGGATCATGGTGGAATTATAGAAGGTGTGTCGTTGCGCATAATGGCGGCAGAGAGTGGGGGGACATATTTTGTCAACCAATCACGTAGGGCCCATTCTATACGCGTGGAATTCAAACGTTCACAGTAGATTATTAATAAAAACAGTATTAGAAGTTAAAATAACAATGAAATCTTTATTTTAACCTATTAGAATATAAAATATTACAAACTGTAACAATATTA